AGCTGTGAAACTATCTCATTCATATTTATTTCTCAATAAAAAAATAAATATATAAAAAAGAAGTTTGTTAGTTAAGTTGGTCAGTATTCGTCACTTCCTGTATATCGAGCCAGCTGCATTAAGTGCTTTGCAGACATTCTAGCAATCATATTATAGATGGAGATACTGAGTTCACAGAATTTGAATAATTTACTCAAAATCTTAGTAAATTACAGAGTTGAAATTCACATCTAATTCTTTCTCGTCATGTTCTTTGTTAAAATTTTTAGCCATTTAGCTTAAAAGTTGCATTACCAATAGTGAGATAGCTCCAGTTAAAGTGATTTGGTGTTAAAGATATACATTTATGTAAATAAAAGAATGATGTAGTTGATAAATATAGATGTAATCATTATCATCCAAAATTAACTCTTCTTAATACATCTGCTTTCTTACTATATGGTCTTTTTCCCCCTTGGGACCCTAAGGGAACTTTGTGTGTGTTTATGATTTTTCTTGTCTTTGCTTTTAGTGGAATCTAATCAGAAAAGCTCATTCCAGGAAATCCCCAAACTTAATGAAGAACTTCTCAGCAAACAAAAGCAACTTGAGAAGATTGAATCTGGAGACCTAGGCTTAAACAAAGTCTGGATCAACATCACAGAAATGAATAAGCAGGTAACAAGTCTGATTTTTTTTCTGTTATTTCTATGTAAGCTATGAGTATTTGGTTTGGTTGGTTTTTTAGTTTGAATTTGTAGATGCGTGGAATTCATGTTAGGGTATTTGACTTTTTAAATTACATATTATGATCCCAAAATGTTAAAATATGTAATAGTTACACATTTACCAGATATTTACAATGTTAACCCTTTCTGCAAATAAATGGAGTTCTACCAAGTTAAACTAATATAGGAAGTTGGAAATTGAGTTCATTTTTCCTATGGAAAAATACTAGAGTAATATCTAATCCCCAAGAAAATGGATAGAGCATTGTTATTAAACAATGAGAGATTTATTTTGTTCATTGTAGTTTACAAACTTATAGATGCAGCCTTAGGTTATAGTGCTATAAACTATACTAAAACAAATACATAAAATATCAGTAGCTAATTATATTTCTTCTAGAATAGATGGCAGAGTTAGTTAATTGCTTTGACCGGGCAAGCAAGCCTAGAGTATAAACTTTTCTGGTCCCTAAATTGACAACAGCTTAGTAGGCATTGCTTCCAGATGAATCTGCCAAAGTAAAGAGCTTTATTCTAAGATTTTGACAAAGCATTTCATATATATAAGGAACCATACTTAGACTGTACTCATTTTTTTGTGTAGTCAGGAAAGATATGATCAATGAAAAAAAAACCTCACATACCAAATGAACAATACATACGCAAAGTGCTTACGAGTGGGCACGTCACTTTTGTTGGGAGTAAGAAGATATACTCTTCTTCATAGTAGAGTTACAAAGTTCAGAATGAGCCAGTAGGAGAAAGCTCTGTGCTAGAAGCAAGTGCTTGCAAATATTTCTGAAGCTCTACCTCTCAATAATGGTTTGGGAGTGAGGCAGTTCAGTACTTAAGGCCAAGAATCAGTGCTCTGAGGACGTGGTTTCCAACTTTTTCATGTTGTAGTCTATATACAGTAAAGAATGTTTTAAAACTATCCAGTAAATATGTACATATTTATATGCAGTGGTTGAATGTGACTCCCAAAAGTTCATGTGTTGGAAACTTGATCCCCAGATTCATGTGTTAGTAGTGGTTGGAGATGGAGCTCTTGGGTGATAATTTGAATTGAGCCAGAAGGATGGGCCCCCTTCATGGCATCATAAGAAGAGGAAGAGAAAACAAGGCTGACTGCTGTCACTATGATACAGCAAGAGAGCCCCCACCAGATGCTGGTGCCAATTTCTTGGATTTCTCAGTCTCCATTATTATGGGCTAAATAAACTTCTTCTTTATGAATCACCCAGTCTGTAGTGTTCAGTTATAGCAACAGAAAATGGACTAAGACACTAGATGTTATTAAAATAAAAGTTTTTGAAAACAGGACTCACCCTTAATATGTATGGTGCCTTATGACATTTCATTATATTTTAGGGGGTTTTGCTATTAAAAACAATGCATGAAGTTCATTCCTATAAGCCCAGCAGCACCTTTGGAGGCAAGGCAGGCATGTCATGAATTCCAGACCAGCCTTGGTGCATGCATCTCAAATTCCAGGCCAGTCTGGGTTAATTAGCAAGTTTAAGCCTACACTGGACTAGATAGTGAGACTATCTAAAAAAAAGAGAGAGAGAGAGAGAATAAAAAACATATTCATGAAATAATTGATAGATTATAAAACCTTTAGGAGAATGCTGTTGATATTTTGATTAGGATCGCATAAGTTTATATACAGTAAAACCTTGGTTTGTAAGCATAAATCATTCCAGAAATGTGTTTACAATCTAAAGAACTTGTATATCAAAGTGAATTGTCCCATAAGAAATAACAGAAACTCGGGGCTGGTGAGATGGCTCAGTGGTCTAAAGCATCTACTTAGAACAAGCTTAGCAAAGCACAAGGGACCGCGGTTCAATCCCCCAGCACCACATGCCAGCCAGCCCTGCCCCCTGGTGGGCTGAGCTGGCCACACAAATAAATAAATAAATATTAAAAAAAAAAAAAAAAAAAAAAAAAGAAAAAACAGAAACTCAGATGATTCATTCCACAACTCAAAAATACTCATATAAAAATGATCACAGTACTGTAACATAATACAAAATAATAAAATACAAATATAAAGAAAAACAAATTAACCTGCATTTACCTTTGAAAAGCCTTTGTGGCTAGTGTGAGGGAGACAAGAGGGAGAAAGAGGTTACTGTATAGGATAACCTCCACTATCACCAGCAGAATCACTGCTATCTCTTGGCTCAATAGAATCTTTTTCTTTTCAAGTAGATTTATCAGGAAAACTATCCAATGCCTTCTCTTAAGGATTTCGTAGAAATGTAACATTACATTATTGTTGAACAGATTTATCCCTCACACTGCTACAGGATTAATTGTATGGTGCCTTTCTAGAAAATTTTGCATTTGCATACATTTTGTATATCTCCCTAATCGCATTTGAAGTGAGGGATTTGTATGCCTTTTTCTCCTCTGCAGATGTGGCCCTCTCCGTAACCTCTTGCCACTGAGAGATGATCACCCAAAATCCCACAGGAGATGAGGGGTTGGGAGAAAAGAACCATTGACTAGTGGTGATTGTGTGACATTCATTGTCATAGCAAGACATCACTCCTTTACCAAGTTAAAATTTATGGGAGTCAGGCGTGGTGGCACACACTTATAATTACAATTACTTTTTGTTGTAGAGGTCTTTTGCTTCCTTTGTTCAGTTAATTCCTAAATATTTAATTTTCCTTAAACTGGGATGAATGGTTGCAAAAAGTACCTAAATATGCAGGTATAGGAAGAATTTTACTTTAGTGTGAAGTCTTTATATAACAAACTAGGGAAGACTGGACTAAAATGCTTTCCTTTTTGGCTTCAGTATACCTTCAGAGATGCTGAAACTGACTGATGGAGCCAGCCTGATGCAGAGGAGTTTTCTACTCTCAGGGACTCGGAAAGATACGCAATAGTTAAGCAGAGTTTTGTGTTGTTTGCAACAGGAGCTCTGTACTCTGCATGGTTTTCTAAAATTAATGCTATACATAACATCTCTGATGGTCTGTTTGAGTAAGAGACATTTCAAAAATAGGTACAAAATTAATATTTAACTATGTTTCTATACTTAAAAGTAACTTTCAATTAAGATGCTTTTAGTAGCATTTTTAAAGCAGTTCAAAGTGGCTTATACAACAAGAAAATACACCTAAAAAGGACCCTCCTTATCACAATGTGAGCTGAAGATAATGCAGCCTAAAAGAAGCCATCAGTTAAAAAATTTTAAATCAAATGCTTCCTTGAAAAACTTCCTTAGTAGCTGAAATTTTATTACATTTTTGTTTTGTTCATGGAGCCTCTGATTTTATATTCATTCTCTCCTACCTTTATAGGGAATCTTCTCCCCTTTTTTGGAAGATCATTAATTCAACAAATATTTACTAAACTACTACTTTGGATTCTTAGTCCATGCAGGCTGTTGTAACAAATTACCTCAGAATAGGTAACTTACAAACGACAGAAGTTTATTACTTATATTTCTGGAGGCTGGGATTTCTGATTTCAGGGTACCAGCAGATTTGGCATCTGACAAAGGTTCCTTGCATACTCTGCTTCATTCATTGTGCCTTCTTGCTATGTTCTGAAATAACAAAGGAAAACAAGCTTCCTTGGATCACTTTTATGAGGTTGTCTAATCCTATCAATAAGGCTGGAGCCCTCCCATATCACACCTCAAAGGCTCTGTCTCTGAATCCCACCACATTGGAAATTAGGTTTCAATATATGAATTTTAGGAGCATGAACATTCGGACCATAGTAGATTTTAAAACAAGATAATATGCTGTAGGGCTGGCCAAATAGCTCAGCAGACTAAACCATCTGTTTAGGTAGAGCACAGTGGCTGGTGTTTGATCCACAGCGTGCTGCTCTGGTCCCACCCGCGGGGCGCACTGAGATAGCGATTGAGACTGGGCATGGTAGTGCGCACCTGTAATCCCAGCTCTTGGGAGGCTGAAAACAGGAGAATCACTACAAGTCTGATGTACATAGTGCAACGCTGTAGGCCCTGTACTAAATATATATATATATAATTACAGCATAATATATATATATATGCTGTAATTGCTTCCCACAAGGGCCTTACAGACAAATGGAAGAGACAAATGGAGATAGGAAAGTAAACTATTGTAAACAGCTTGATAAACAATATGGAACAGGTCCAAATGAGTACTGTGAGGCCATATTCATCTATATATTCAACCAGGCTGGGCTTATGTGAGGTCTCCTAGAGATGCTGAGCAGAGTTCTGAAAGCCAAAGAGGAGTTAGTCCGTTGAATTCTGCAGAAAGAGAAAAGGATGCTTCCATTAAAACATAAGTATCGCCGATCCCCATTATTTGTGAATTCTGTATTTGCAAATTCACCTGTTCTAAAAATCTATACTTGGGAGGCTTTTTTTTTCTTTTCTTTTTTTTTTTTTTTTTTTTTTGGCAGAACCGGGGATTGAACTCAGATCCTTGCGTTTGCCAGTCAAGCGCTTATCCTACTGAGCCATCTCCCCAGCCCCCTCGGAGACTTTTATAGTCATTCACTTATGTAGGAAAAATTTGACTCACCCAATATGTGTGTACAGCTGAGGTCAGACTAGGCAACAAGCTCCTTTCTTGTTTTAGGTCTCATGCTGTAAACAAGTCTTCCATGCTATACAAGTATTCAATGTCACATTTTTCATATTTTTGTTCTTTGGTTCATTTTTTTGCCATTTAAATGTTTCTCATCACAGTGCTAAAGTACTATCTAGTGTTCCTGGGACCGGGGAGATGGCTCAGTAGAATAAGTGCTTCCCTGGCAAGCACAAGGGCCTGAGTTCAATCCCTTGTTCCACCAAAAACATAAAAAATAAACAAAGTACTATCTAGTGTTCCTAAATGGAAGGAAACTGAGATGTGTCACATGAAGAAAATATATATATTAAGTAGACTTCCTTCAGGCACTATGTACTTCAATATTAAGGAGTCAACA